TATTTCGATAATTTGATATATTAATGGACACTAGCATTACCATCTTTACCCGCGACATCGTTCACTGACCTACCACCTGAGGACTCAGGTGTTATTCCTCTGTACCCTGTAAATTCACGCCATATCCCACCCTTCAAACCGAAACACAGCCATGAAAAAACACAACTGCTTCACTCACACGGTTTCTACCGTGAAGCAGTTGTATTTGCATAGCTGTGTTTCAGTTTGAAGGGTGGGATATGGCGTGAATTTACAGGGTACAGATGAATAACACCTGAGTCCTCAGGAATGGCAACGCATAAGGGGTATTATGGGCGAAACAGCATACTCTGTTATGTCCATGATACTGCTCATGTCTATAGGCGACGTTTACCGCTTTCCATCAGGTGGGCCGTCAACTTGTTTGTCATTCTAAGTTCCCTCTAATATCTCCTAATATCACTGCCAATATCACTGTCATATCCCACTCTTCAAACCGAAACACAGCCATTATTATTTATTAAATTAGGTTAATCATATAAGATATTCTTATCATAGTTCTCGCGTAAAAAGTCATTGAATTACATCTAGTAGATCAACGAATCAACAGTTTACCATAAAAAACAATATCATTGGCAAGCTACTCATGACAATTGTTTCCCATAATGCGTTTTATACAACTTGGCGATGGCGACATATGAGGACGTTATTATCATATTAGAAGTGCCCATATGTTTATGGCCGCTATATTGTTTGCGTTACAACTGAATATTTATGTTTATAAACCTATTCTAATGAGCATACTCTTTATACATATTAAGAAATTAATGTTTCATTCTAAAAAGTAGAAGTAAAGAATTAATCATATTGTTTATACAACATTTATGTTAAAAATAAAAACAAAATTAAGTTTAAATTAAATCTACACTTCTTTTTTTAGCTTTGGTATTTATATATGTATATAAGTGCTTTGAATTTGTTATTATATTTCTTGCGTATCTCCATGGGACTTCATTAACTCTATATTTAAAATATTGTTTTTGCCACTACAAGGTGTATTTTTACAAAATTATGCTGTATATTATATTAATATTTATATATAAACGATTGTTTGTTGTCATAAAGAAACAAAATAAAATAAAAACAATATGTTTGTCGATGAGTATTTAGCTTTGATGGGTTTACTAACATACTGAGAAAGCTAGAAGCTAATGGCGGCAGATTTTAGGAGTGGCAAATTTTAAGGTCTATTTTTTATAATTATGAAGTTTCAATTTCATTAATAAAAGATTATAGAGAATAGAATTATAGTGCTCAGTAAGAACGGCAAAATTTGGCGACAAAATCTAAACAAATCGCCCAAAAACTACAGTTATTTGGGAGGTTAGCTTCACAATCTTAACCTCCTAGACACTTTTTAAACAACTTTATCTATAAAAATTTCTTTCTTAGTGATTGAATGAGAAAGAAAGACGCACGTCACGGCTATCTCCTTGTACCTCATGCAGGTGGTAGCGATAACGTATCTATCGATAAATTCGTATGTCACGTATGTTGCAAAGCTGAATGGTGGTTTGTGGCTAGTGAAAACCCTGTGTGATTCGTAAATATGCTCTACCCTTGACATTTACTGGTTGCATATTTCTTACATATTGCATATATACGTACATTATATTTGGTGTATTACAATGTTACAAACAATTTTATTTAAATAGTTATGTGTAAAAACTAGCTATATCCTACAGTTTTACTTGTAGTTTTATCACAATGTTGAATAGCTTGTAAACTTCTTTAAACAATGAGCTATCAACTGACACGGCACTCAAGTGGTACTTGCAAGGCACTGACGGTGGTAATGTACCATGCACTCAAGAAATGAAAAATGTAATGAAACATTAATCTATCTAACCATTCAAACAAACCTTCGCATTTACATTTTACATTAATAGGATATAAATAAAATAAATACAGACATATAAAACGAGGATCAATTACTATTGACTGTTCGATTTATCAACAAAAGCCTAATAACTACCACTAATGAATGAAATAAATAAATAAATAAATAAAAATTATGAAATTTTACGCAGAACTTCGTTGTGTGACAGACATGGAATACTAATAAAGAGGTTTGACGATAGATATAACTTCAGATAAGTGACTCCTATGTACCGGTGACGTATAAATTTTATTTATTATATAATATATAAACTAATTTCTATTTCAGTTACCAGAGGGAGACTTTGTACAAGTCGTTTACTTGGGCACCTCTGTCCATATCGTTTTTTTTTGTTTAATGGGTGATAATGGAATGGTAACCCCACCCGCACTAACGGTATACACCGGCGGGGCACCAGTGAAGGATGATAGATGAAGATGAAGTAGGTCAGTTTGCCGATTATGACGAAATCAACAAGAATTGTTCACGATGGTTTCCAGAGAGAACCACGTGGAGGTCGACCTAATAGGGCATATTGCTAGCAATGGGGCTATCAAACTCCATTGCTAACAATCCCTTTCCCCCCGTCCATATCATGGCGTCGTAATCGTTTGTATTTTTTCCGCCATGAATGTCCAAAAGAAGCGACGATAAGAAAGATATTGGAGCAATATAAATAACATATTATCCATACCATTTAACTACAGATATACATTTACTATTTACTTTTTTCTATTTGAAAATGTTACTTTCTTCATATGATAAAGCTACTTATATTTTCAACTGCTTGAAGGCAACGTAGTATCTATTTGAATGCATTTGTTAACTTGTTTGCTACGTGACAATTACTAGTATATAAACAAAGGTTCCTAACTTTCTACATGTCAACTTCAGCTGTATAGCACAGCCTTAAACCTAAGGATAATTATTATGGGAATTATATTGTCCAGTCTATATTATTATGTATTATTGTCTACATTTTTTTATACAACTTAGAATGGAATACAAGCTGGCGGCCCACCTGATGAAAAGTGGTAACCGTCGCCTGTAGACGTGAGCAGTACAATGGACATACATATATATGTTACAAATCGACCTTTAACCTCTAAAACCCCTAACATTTATAAAATAGTTGTAATTTTTTCTAACATACGTATCTCCTTTTCTATGTTGCATAGAGAAATGATGTTTATTTCAATGTATTGAGAATTTATCTTAAAAGTAAATACTTTATTTTTTTAGTTTTTATTATTGCAGCACGTTTGTAATAAAATCAGGATTAGGATGTTTTCTGAGTCTACTGTAGAATTTTATCCGTTTTAGAAAATATAACCTAGTACCTAACCTAAAAAATAGTGGGGAAGGGATGTTAGTAATGCGGACTACCAATCTCATTAATAGCAATATACCCTGACAGGTCGACCTCCACGTGGTCCTCCCTGGAAACCATCGTGCTGAATTCCAGATAAATCGCGATGGGCTAACTAACCTGCCTTTTCATATTCACCTGTCATCCCTCAATGGTGCCTCACCAGCGCATATTGTTAGCCCAGGCGGAGTTACCTTTCCATTAAAAAATCTAAATAAGAGGCTAATTTCCATTGTTAGTAGCCTGTCCATTCGACCTCCACGTGTTCTACCTTAAAATTATCTTGATAAATTACTACTACATTTGCTACAAGGGGCCAAACTGACCTGTGACTTCATCCTCTATATTTCATATCCCATTTCTGCCCCGCCATGTCTATCACTAGCGTACCATGGCATCTCATCCATAAAAAATATATAAAACAGAAACATTTATAAATATGATGAAATAAAAGAACATTGAAAAAATATTTTTCTTTTAAGAAAATTAGGTATTTTATTTTATTTATTTTTATTTAACTCTATATTGCAATAATATTACATGAACTGTTGAAGAATTTTCAATAAGTACAGTATAGTATATGATACGGTCTTATTGCTAAACAGGTTTTTCCAGACAATCTTTTTTTATATTTTAATAAAAAAGTTTAATGAAATATACATGTATCTCATATAATATTTATTTAATCTTTTCACAATTACTTGCTTACTTCATTATAAGATCACTTGTCCTTACTTCCCATTAAATTATTACAAGGAACCATTTTCTTTTAAAGTGTAGTTTTTATTAAACATGAGATTTCTACATTATCTAGATTGTCGGGATTAATCTTTGTCTTCATTTAGTCATCGAAATGTATTAAAGTCACGTAAATTTTTTCAAATAACAAAAATTACATGACATTCATATAATATTCAAAAATAGCTGTAACGGAACTGTTACATGTATTTAGGTATTTATTTATTTTATGCGATTTAAAGGCAAATAAGCTTTCGGTAGACCGAATGCAAAATACACACATGTATAAACAGTACCATGGATCTACGGTATTCCACAAGGTTTGCCATTGAAGACTAAGATATTATAATACCTCGTAACATAATTATAACATGTCCACGTGAACAGAACTTGGTGACAAATAAACAAAATAACGACGGAAATGGGCGCTCATTTCTTGGCAACGATAACACGTTAGCCTCTCATTACATCTCTCCTCTGAGTTACGGCTTTCAAACGCTTTTTTAGATTTTGTAGGTAAATAAAATAAAATAAAAAGGTGTGATTAATAATTTTATGGTATCTACATCGTTAAATGTGAATTAGTTTTGCAATATTCCATTCACCCTCGTTTGTTCTTAAGAGTTTTATGTAACGACGGGCATGCCATACATGGTGACATCGGACACCGTACCTAAACTCACCTACGAGATAACTCCGGCAATAACACACCGATCTGCCCATGGGTTACGTAAACCGTATGGATTTTATGATATTCCCTTAACAAAAAGTTTGCTAGATCGATATGGAATACGCTGTTAGATAGAAAATTTCCGCGGCTAATGTAATGAGCTATAGGACGGGTCACAGTAAACATCACACAGCGCAGTCGCATAAATTGTCTCTCGGCTATTAATGCTATTGGAAAAACCATTATTTACTAACGGATCGGTGTGTCGGATAAGTGTTGGTGCATCCTAAAGTGTGGTCACTTACTGGACGTGGAAGGAGCCGGTCGAGGGGTAGCAGTCAGTCACCTCGGGGAATCCATTGACGCGACGTAACGCGGGCGGTGTCACATGTGTTCGGGTGTTGGTGCGCTCAACGCGCGGACAAGCCGGCGAGCGCGGCGGGACTGGGCGGCCGGCGCGCCGCACGTGGCCAGGTACCAGTCAATCGATGTGCGCGCGGGCGCGGTGCGGGCGCGGCGCGGGCGCGGCACATTCATGTCGCGGGAACAGCTGACGGCGAGCCCGTAAACATGAATCGGCCGCCCCCAGCCCTTGCTGCGCCGCCCTCCCTGACCTACTGTGCGCACCGCGCAGGCCGCTCACACACTAGCGAGCGGGAGCGTGCTGTGTACTAGTACACTCACGGAAAACGGTGCACTCCACGAAACTGATGATCTGTAGCCAGTACGTGCACTGGAAATTCTTAAATTATTGATATATTAACTAAAATTGAATAAGAGGTTATCTTGTTTTTCTTATTGAGGTAAATATAGTAGTCTATTATAAATAGTTTGCATCATATTTATAAAAAATCCAAAATTTTAAAGAGAAAGATATATTGTGATCTTTATTGCCTACTTAAGTATAATGTACCAAAAAAATTGCTCTCCTTTCTATAACATTCGAGGATGTGATTTTATAATTACATCAATCAATAAAACATCGCACACAATCATACGTAGAGTCATGGGTAGGTATATTTTTTTAATTCATCCTCAATAATCTGACTTTAATTCTTTATTTATTCTCTTCTACCTTAACTTTGTTGATTTAAATGATTTTTAGATTAGATACATACCTAGAGTCTAAGAAAATAATTATAGTTAAAAGTTTCGTAAGTGCAAATTATATTTATGCTTAGATTTTATGTATATTTATACTAGTCAGGTATTCTCTAATAAAATAGTGGTAAGTCATTCCGGTTGTTCTTACATTAAAAAAATAATCGTTTCAAGACAGAATAAGGTAAGTTATGATAACATTAATTATATTAAATGTTTAAAAAAAAAAGTAAAAAAAAATTACTCCCATATTTTGTGGATTTGACTAGAGACGCGTTAAGTTAGTACGAAAAACTCGATTTTTTTAGTCCTTATTCGCCTTATGTTTCTTCAAGAACGTTAAACTGTTAAGTTAAAAATGTTAAGTTCATTAATATAATATTATGTCAAAAAGATGCTTGTATTTTCAATTTCTCTTTATATAAATCACTTACCATTAGATGAGCCGCATTCTCGTTTGCCCCCTGTGATGTGAAAAAATAAAATAAAGAATTTCCAAATATATCGCGTGGCACATACAAATAAAAAACACAAACCAAAAAAAAAAAACTAAATAAAAAATTTAAATATCTCTTCACAAACCTTATCTTCTTTTAATTAAAAAATCAATGTTTAACAGTCAACGTGACTGACATAATTTAGTGGATTATTTCAAGAGGTAATGGGAAATGTTCTGTAAATTTGTGCAAAGTTTAGGTCGACGTAGGTACATCGGGCTTGATTGATGGGTAATTGACAAGTCTCTCTTGGATCGGATTTTGTAACTGAGTAAGTCAGGTGCACGAATAGGGTACGATGGGCCCGTAAATTAACAGTTCCCGAAGTGTTTGGAACGTTGGAACGACCGAGATATAAATTATAATACAAGTGGATATCGCAACTTAGTTTCTCGATTTAATTGTATCTAAATTTCGATTCAGAGTTCCAATATGAAATTTATGTTGAAACTATTTTACAAAATTGAGAAAAACATTGCAAAATTTACAAAAGAGTTTAATGAATAAAAGAATTTTTTTTTTTATATACAACTTAGAAAATCATCATGTTCAAGACACACAGCAGTCATCAACCACACAACAAACGACTAAAACACCAGAATCATCTAACATAATTTATGCACCGAAAACACAGCTATTTACAAATTCAATAAACACTCAACAAAAGAAAGAAAGGAAGGAGAAGAAGGACATAAAAAACTAACAATAAAGGATATACATTATATATGTATATATGTATATATCGATGGATGGGCAGCAATGTCCCTCTTAAAACATCACCACTATGGTTACCAACCCAGTTAAGTTAGGTGACAACTAAAAAGCCCCATTGGAGAGACTTATATTCAGCAGTGGACAGTTAAAGCTTATGTGAAGATGAACTTAAGCTATGCCAAAAAATGTGTTCATCTAGCACACATCTACACAATATAAAACAAAGTCGCTTCCCGCCGTCTGTGCGCTTGAATCTTTTAACTACGTAACGAATTTTAATATGATTTTTTATAAAAAGATAAAGAAATTCATAAAGAAGATTGATATGCAGTTTAAAATGGTAAACAAGCTAACGATCTACTTGATGGGAAATGGTAACCATCGCCTATAATCACGAAAAGTACCATGGGCATAACAGAGTATACTGTTTCGCCAATGATACTCCCATACATTGCCATTCCTGACGACTAAGGTATTTATACCTCTGCACCCTATAAATTCACTGGTATTCCCAATCTTTAAACCGAAACACAGCCATGCAAACACAACTGCATCACAGTAAAAACGCGAATGGAGGAAAGGTACCCAAGCAAACCGCTTTTGTACAAAGCCTCCCTCTGGTTATTTTTAAGCATAGTTTAATATTCTTTTGTGTTAACTTGTTGAAATATGACGACATTTGTTCAAGATGACAGAAGAAATCAAGTCGACTAAGAGCTTTCATCGAAAATGTAGAAATATAACAAAATAACATATGAAGGAGTTGTTCCTCTCTATTAAGACTACAAAGAAGTCAGCGATTGCATTCTATATTATACAGATAGCATTCTATGACCATTTTAATGTTTAAAAAAAATATACAAATTATGTTGAATTTGGAAAGTTATTTAGACTAATACAATACTAATATAATAGTGCGCCACCTACTCTTTGTCTTTTTCTCAATGTCCTCTACCCAAAGGTTGTCTGGAAGAGATTGCTTAGCGATAAGGCCGCCTTTTGTATCACTTCTCATTAATATTTACTATATTTGTTATTTCTCTTTTTACTTGGTGCAGTAAAGTGTAAATAAATAAAATAAATAAATAATATTATTAATCACTCCACACTGACATTAAATTGTTTCTACATTGCATCCATGAGAAACCAGGATGTGTCGGTAGTTTTACGCAAAAAAAAAAAGATTTTTTAAAGTCTAGGTACAAACATAAATGAGAAATAGTCAATGAAAATTGCTAACTACATGGCAGAGTACATTTAACCATTAGGTAACACCAGTTGAGTGGTTGCCCTACAAAAAGGAAGTTGTTAGCGGCTATTATCAACTGCAAGGATCTACGTCGACAAACTAGTGGAGGCTTCATTAATTTTTCCAATGAAAAACACTATTTATTACAACTGAATAGTCGGAAGGCACGCAATCACTTTTTACCTTCCGCAAGGAAATGCGTTTTCTAATTTAATATTTTTTTTTCAACTTGCTTTTTTATAGCGTTGCCTGATATTTGTTCATATAGATGAATTCTGGGAAATCTATTCTTAACAGTTTTTAGTTATAATAATCAGAAATCTTATTAACATTTTTTTTTTATCTAAACTGTAGTACTGTTAACTGTAGATGGCCTTTCCAGCTTCACCGGACGCGTCTGCAAGGAAAAGTGCAGACGGCACTCCAATCCCGTGAGAGGGGAGCGATGAAGCATCAGCTCTTTCTTATGGACTGCGGCGTGCCCTCAAGGACATCAGAATGACTCAGACCTCAGCTTAGGCCACCGCATTTCGACTCCATCAAGGGACGGAGGGTCGGTATGTTGTGACGAATGGGGACTCGGGGGCTGGAACAATGCGCTCGGGCGCATGCACTATATAAAATAATATATCCTGTCAGTTCGAACTTCACACGGTCCCACCTGGAAACATTCATGGCTACTTAATTCCTGTTGAGTCTGTCAAACTCAAGACCATTTATGACCTGCTTTTATCCTTACTTTTCATCCCTCACTGGTACCTAGCCAGTGTATACCTGTAGTGCAAGCGGAGTCGCCATTACAATTTTATCCCATTACCAAACTATTGTTCGCACTCACTGATAATACATTATATTTGAAATCTAGAAAAAAAGAATGACTAACAAAAATAGCGCGGCCCGTCTAATGAATAATCCATGTGAGTATAAATCGACAAATTGGCTGTTTAGCAAATCACTCGTTCTGTCATTATGATCATAAACTTACAGGCCACGTTCAGACAAATAGTGATTTAAAAAGAACATTCTGCCAAATGTGGCATTGCCATTGCAGCGGTCGGCCCATAACTAACTGTTGCTCCTGGCTGGAATCCAATGCGAGTTGGTTTCAATTACACATTAGGGATGTGTGTTACGTTTATATGAAACGAGATTGTTTTTAATTTTATTAAAAATATGTGTATGTTATTTATATGGCGTGGACTTTATTTAATTTCAACATGCAATGCAATTTTCCTATAGTGTTATGAAACGTACGTTGTATTTTTTTTTATACAACTTAGAATGGCAAACAAGCTGACGGCCCACCTGATGGAAAGTGGTAACCGTCGCCTATAGACATGAGTAGTACTATGGACATAACAGACTATACTGTTTCGCCCATGATACCCCCCATGCGTTGCCATTCTTGAGGAATTAGGTGTTATTCCTGTACCCTGTAAATTCACGCCATATCCCACCCTTCAAACCGGAACTACTGCTTCACGGTAGAAACACGAATGGGACAGAGGTACCCAAGCAATCAACTTTTGTACAGTCTCCCTCTGTATGCCTTATTTCAAGGTTATCGATTTGAGATTAAACCTAAAACACATCGATTTAACAATATGTTAAGAATATATAGTATGTACTCCTAGTCAAGTACATAATTAGCATCATCATATCAGCCGTTAACTGTCCACTGCTGAACTCCCTTCCTCTTAAGAGGTTTTGTCAGTAGTTGCCACGTTTGGCAAGCGGGTTGGCAACTGCAATTAAGCGTTGATGATTTTTTAAGAGTGAGCTGCTACTCCAAACCAAAAACAAAATATCAGTAAGAAATAGTGCTATTAGACAGAAATGTGGAGTAAAAGACAATGTAGCAAAAATTTAAACGGGAATATTGCGTTAGTTTGGCCATTTGAAGAGGATAAGTGAAAGAATAATTACAAAAGAGATTTATCGAGCAAAAATGAATAGAGATGTCGGTAGCAGCCGCCCTAGACGGGCATAATATGTCAACCAAATAGGCGACCTGCTGAAGAAGGGCCAAATTAAAAGTACCCCTAACCCGCAAGCGTGTATGAAAAGATTGATAGATGTGGAGGAAGCAAAAGAGGCTTGTTTGATTGAAAGTGTTTGGTGTTCTTTTGTTTTTGCCTACCCTAATTGGAGACAAACGTGAGAGATATGTATGTATGTATGTATGTGGACGCTGCTAGTTATCTCTCGGCCATTAAATTCACTTAGGCGCCTCTAACGACACCCACGGAAAAAGGACTAGCCTATTATATGCCGAGACTGACTACGTAGTAAATATATTACTTACAACAGAGTCTGAAATCCATATTACCTAGGTGCTGACGGCTCACTTGATGGTAAGCGGTTACCGTAGCCTATGAACGCCTGCAATACCAGAGGTATTATGCGCGCGTTGCCGACCCTGAAGAAACCTGTTTACCCCCCTTTTGAAGAACCCCATGCTGTAGTCTCTTGGGAAAACCTCGGCAGGGAGCTCATTCCATAACCTGAGTGTTCGTGGGAGAAAACACCGTATGAGGATGAACTCCCTGTCGATAGCGAGCCGTACGATGATAGAAAGTGACCGTAGGCATCATATTGAATAATTCCACTGAGCACGATCCGTTGTACAAGCGGTAGAACACGCAGAGTAAAGCAAAATCTCTCCTAAGACTTAGAGGTTCGATACCGCTTGCAAGCCTGGGATCATCGACAATTCTCATAGCTCGTCGTTGCACTGAGTCGAAGGGTTCAAGCTGGTATCTAGGTGCTCCCGCCCATAAGTGACAGCAATACTTCATATGGGGCCGGATTTGCGATTTGTATAACTTTAATCGCTGATCCAGAGTGAAGTATTGCTTTGCTCTAATAAGTACACCGAGTTTTTTGGATGCCAGCTTCACCTTATCTTTGAGATGGCCACGGAACTGTACGTCACTAGAGATGTCAACACCAAGGATTCCAATGGTTTTAAAGATGTTAAGATCCTGTAACTGTGGGGCCACAAAACCTAGTCAAAAGTATTATCAAACTTAGTAATACCCGTTTATAGGTAACTAACATTAACTCGTAACTTAGTCCGCGTGAGTAGGGCATGTTAATTAACCGAAATAAATAATAACAATAAATGTCAAACAATCACAC